AAGGGTAAGGTTACTGCAAAATTCCCATTTCCTCCCAATCAGCTGGGACTCAGGAGGCAGAGAATAGATGAGGGCGGGGCCGTTCAGAGGTGGTATTTACCGGTTCTCCTAATTACTCAAAATTTCTGCTACTGGTTCTCCAGAACTGGTCAGAACCTGCTGAATACCACCTCTGCCTGTCAGATATACCCCACATTCCTTACCATCGTAACTTCAAATGATCATTTAGAGAGTGGACATTAAATGTGATAACCTATAAACAATTAAATATCAATTGACATTGCAGCTGCTAAAATATTAAAAGATAAATGGATGTAATTGCAGCTCTGTATTCTCACCAAACTTGCTAAGTTATGGCACACGCCTCTTGATTATGAATTAATAATTATGTGTAGTAAATGAATATAGGGAAACAAGCCATTCTTTTTTTCTGCTTTTTAAAAAGTGTTGAAAAAGGGGCCTCTCATTAAAACATATTTATTTCCTCACATTCTAACCTGGGATCATTTGGGGATTAAGCTTTAATAGTATTTACAAGCTTTTCTGGGGAAATTATAGACCTAAAACTCTCTTGCTATTTCAGATTTTAAAAAAAGTTATTTTCCATTCATTGTCTCTGGAAGGAGTCATGATTATCTTTCCTATAATTACCAAAATACATTTTATAAATTAAATTCCTTCTGAAACCTCTATGGGGCTTCAGGGAGCATACCATAACAATGAAATATGATTGAAGGGAGCCAATAACATTTCTTGTCCATTCAGGCGTGGGATGCAAAAGGCAGAACTGTGACAATCCAGTTCTTCAAACTGTACACTTCCAAGTTCCAAGCAAGCAAGTAAAATAGCATATATGCAGGCTATTATACTTTAATGACACTTTTATTTTTCAGAAGGAAATTCAGATTTCTTGTACAATATGTTACTGTTCATGTCGCTGATGATATTACTGCCAGATGTGGTATGCCATATTCCTGCTACTGCTAGCTGTCTAGTGGGCAAGACTAATCTTCTTAAGCATAATTATTATCATAGAGGAGATCTCATCATTGCTGGCATTATTTCTCAGTTCTACATGATTTCTGATGCAGTGGATTTTAGAAGGCATCCAGATGAAGAACTAGTTGATGACCTCATGTATACTGCTATTAGATATCTTTCTTTACTATGATGACTTGCATGTTTAACTATATTTAAAGAGGGAATGTCGACCTAATAGTAGTAACTGTGAAAAGGATCTTGGAATCCTAGTGGACAACCATTTAAATATGAGCCAGCAGTGTGCATCAGCTGCCAAAAAAGC